ATGGAATTTTATAACAGTGTTTTTTTTTCAACCTCAGACACATAGTGACCCTCAGAAACATACCAGCAAGCGGACGAAACTTTGGTCTTACAAATAATACTTGCATGTTTATCGATTCATACAATATATCCATTACTCAATGATTTTGACGAGAGGTGCCACGGTAGCCGAGTCGTCTAAGTAGTTCAGCAGCCTGATCTAAAATATAATGATGTCTGCAAATTTTATTTAAAAAACTTGCTCACTATAGTATGCCTTCTAAATGAGTATATTTCATCAATGAAAGTGTTAATACAGCTTGCATATAATTTTGAAATAAATGCATGTAGATTTTGTTATTTATACAGTTGAAGATAAACAAATTCCAATGACACAAAAAAACTTAAACATTTTATGATCTTTTAATAAAGCTATAGTTAAAAATTTCAAGTATCAGAAACTTTTTTAAATTGAAAAGAATCATGAGTTAGAGCTTTCAATGTTTTCTATATCTTTTTTCAAATCTATAATCTTTAAACATGTTTTATTGTGAAATACAAAAAAAAAATGAACACAAAGTTGTTCCAACTTACAAAGGTCCTCTTTGGTCAATAAACAAACGTTTTAATACACATGCATATGTGACAAATAAATAAATAAATAAATAAATAAATATCTTAAATGTTTAAGCCAACGAAATCAATTGTATGAAATGAAAAGTGAATAAAAATTATACTGCAAGATTTTGTATATTTCATAAAAAGAAATAGAAGAAAAAGGACAAAAAAAAAGAATACGATCATACAGAGAGAAAAAATAAAGAAAATGAGATACTCTTTGTGATCAATTAATGTCTATATGTCCTGCCTCGTGAATGCAAAGAACCGAATTTACAAATACTATGACATGGCATAGAACTTACACTTTTGAAAGGTAATAATACTGATATTAAGGACATTTGTCTGATGTTTAAACAATTTAGAGAAAATTTAGAACATCTGTTAAATTAAGGTCTGTTATAGCCCGTTACCCTTCAATGATTTTCTGAAAGTTTTTTTTATTCATTTTATGTGCAAAGTTGACATATCATGGTACCTTTGTAAACACGCTTGATTTTGTTCAAATGTAATGCCTTTTCTTAAAGAAAAAATTAAAAGGTTTTTATTTCTATTTCGCAAATTTTATAATGAGATTTAGTATTTTCAAAAGAAGGACTATCCTGTTGATGGTTGTGGTCCCCAAGTTAAATTTAACTCAATCTAATAGAATATTTAAAAAAATACATATTATCTCAGTACTTTAATCTTCTAAATATGTGAAAAGAATTTTATATCGGGTATATATATTAATGTATTGATTCTGAACAATCATGAATGCTATATATATGCAATGGAACTGTCAAGTTAGTACTTTTGTTGAATTTCTACTGGAGTGGTATTCATTTTAATAGACTACATGTTATTTTTTTATTAATGACGTCAGGTATTATCTAATAATTTTTTATTGTACATAACTGACATAACATTAAAAAAAAAGTAGTTCATCTACAAAAAAAGGAACTGATTTCGAACTTGGCATGGTGCACTCGATTTCTATTTGGGAGAGGGGCTGGATTGAACAAGATTGTTAGTTTTCTTGAGTAAGATTGACAGTTTTCCTGACGAAGATCGGTCTGACTCTCTTTGGGTGGGGACACCGGAGATAACCACCTTCGCCAATAAAAAAAATGACTGGTCGCTATGATATAGGCTGGCCAATAGTGTTGGAAGTGGTGATAAACACAACAATCCATCCCTTATTATTATAACGAGAAGCCGTGAATCGTAAATTAAATAAGTTCGTCGTCCCTGTTTGACCTCATTTTTGCCAGAGACCAATATATCTCTGCTTAAATGGTGGACAAAATCGAGATACGCAGATGATAAAATATATTGAAAGGAGACACTCGATTTGTCTTTCTAAAGTCCTGTGGCAGTCCCTGCTACTTCGTACTTTATTTGGTCTTTTTAACTTTTTTGATTCGAGCGTCACTGATGAGTCTTTTGTAGACAAGGATACATGTATATATTGTATGCACCCATATTGTCCAAAATAGGATTTTATGGGAAGATGGAGTTATGATAACCCATGATAATACCATGACTTTTGATAGGTATAGAGCATGTTATTTGGAAGTATGTGGGCTACATCCTTTGAAAATCAAGCTGCCGACACATTATTTGGATGCAATATAAATAATTGCCTCCCGCAGTCGCCTGTATATTTTATGCGTCAGTTTTAACCTGATCAAAATATTTTCCCTCTACTGAATACTTTTATCAGGTGCACATTTCAACCTATTTAAGCAATAAACACTTATGGCTATAACGTCACAGTTCCCAAATTGTACCCAGTAGGCAGTACCCAATTTGCACCTATTCAACAAAATAACTGCGGAAATCTTACAAGTTTTCTTTGAGACTAAACAATTTGTTTTGTTATGATTTGACATTATACATGTCTTTCAACATCGGTTAATATATTTAAATATACAAAAACCGTTATACAAAAACAGGTATCAGGTGAGCCCGAACATTTCTATTCAGCAGCAGTCTCCAACTACATGCATGTATCTCCTTAATTTTATATGACAGTCGCACAAAAATGTTGAAAAATTATGTGTACATTTAATTTTTTTTCTAGATTCTCTCATGTCATACATGTGAAAGCTGTACCTTTTTGGTCACTATTTATGTGTTGCGTCTAAATATGAATTGTAACATTTTATAGTGACTGACCAGGTCAAACAAATACTTCTCAAGAAACATGCAGAGAAAGAAGACAACTTGGAACAGCACCAGCCATGCCAGACTCTCTGTGAATAAAAACTCCGATCGGAATAGCATTGACGATATGTTAGTTATATGTCCTTGTGAATAGTAAGGAAAGCTATCAATAATTCTGCAGATAACGCAATTCTGTCAGGTTTATAGTACATTTTCTGTTCAAATTTTCACACAATCAGTGAATCGTTCAAAAAGGCTAAACTAACTTTTTATTACTGAAAGTTTCAAACAATGACAAGTGTTTCATTCATGAAATAACTTGTGCGTTTATGTGAAAAAAATTGTGCGCAATTTTGTGAATTAATGGGAAAGAAGATCCTTTTGCGGTCCACTCTCGCATGTCAATTGCGAACTGACCCAATATATTTTCTTTATCATGACCAGTTCACTGATACTGACGTTGACATTATCAAGAAGTACACATCAAAAGAAACATGCACAAATTACCGATAAAATAATTTACACACCCTGTTTCATGTGTTCTCCTGCCATATCAGTATTTGTTGCATTTATATATAAATGAGAAATAATCAATGTAAAAATGGTAAATTTTTGGAGAAAAAAAAACAAAAATTATGGAAAAAACAACCAAAAAATGTTGTTTTTGACCACCATGACCACCGACTCCTAAACTGTTGGTACCATATGATAACCCCCAAAATCAATTCTAACCTTCCTTTTGTGTATTGAAGTTGAACCTTCTGGTACAATTTCATACATTGTCGTAGAGATCCATTTACTTAAACTAAAGTTATTGTCCGGAAACCAAATGTGTCTTCGGACAACAACAGCGACATGATTGCATTACTCGAAAGCAAATTTTCGACATATTCCCCATTTCCATTCTGAATTTTATTTTGCCGTCGTATAAAAACTTGAAAAGTAAGATAATAAAACAAAATGCAAAATGACATAAAACTGACTCTGAATTAGTACATGAAATTGATGTAGAAACCCACAAACAGAAGATGATCAGGAATACATTTATACTGCTGAGCAGTATTCTCCCCTCAAATTTTAAATAGCATCCTAGAAAATAGCAAAATCTTTAGATTATCAACTTAACAATCCTATTTATGGTTCCTTATGCTTAGATCAAAATGAAAAACCTGATCAAAACATTATTCTAGACAGGCTCACTGTAAATTCAAACTCTTCTTTTAACAATCAAAATGATCCTCTTGCTGATCACATATATATGAGATGCAGGAAACTGGGAATACAATATGAACATCCAGCTAATTTAGAAAGTAAAAATAATTCAACAAACAGAAAGCGTTGTTTGTAATACAAAATAAAAAAAAACAGCTACAACTTTTAGATATTGATGAAAAAGATATTCCAAATCCTCCACCTTTTCATGAAAATCAACAAAAAATTAATTTAATAAAGTTATGGATTGTATAACAGTATTCATAGTTTTGAAATTAAACAAATGTCTTATTGTTTTAAATTTTGTAAAATTTGCAAAGAAAGAAAAATGGATTTGAAAATGGCACAAGATAATGAATTTAAGCATTGTCATTTAGATAAATCACCAATAAATTTATTTTCAGCAGAAAACAATATGGACAATAAGGGTGCAACCATTTAGATTCAAAAAGGCGGGGGTATGGTTTTTTGTTTGAGTTAGATTTTTTTTTCACGCAAAGGGCTTCAATCAAAATTATTTGGTTAAAAATTAACACTAGAAGTTATAGGGATAATCTGGATTCAGAATATTTTTGTGTCCTCTGCTTGATTAGAATATTTTTTTTTTCATCAATTTGGAAATCAGAATATTTTTGATGAAAAAAATAAATACTCTATCCTGATCATTCCATTAACATTTTCCATCTGAATTTATTATTTTATTTTAGACAAAAACTATATGTTCATGTAGGACATTCGTCCTGAACATGCATGAAATGTTTGCCACTGGACGTTAAGCAAACCAACAATCAATCAATATGTAGGACATACGTTTTGGTAAGCTGGCATTAAAGGTAGCGCCTTCCTCATATTAATAAAAGTGTTTTTAAATATTTTTTTTTAATTTATATTTCAGCTTGAGTTGCACAGGCACTTGTCTCTGAAAAATATATACCTATATATAACAGGGTGAAAAAGAATTTTTTCAGGGAGAGTGCCAGTGTTGAGTTGTCATTCCCCTAACGAAATGAACACTTCACTCTAAATAAAAAATTATCTAAAAGGTTAAGGTCAGCGATGTCAGGATGCGGGGAATGAAAATGGCGGAGCTACATTTCGAGGCTCCACTTGCAAAATTTGAAAATGAGGAACTTGCAGAGTATAGTGATTTTCAAGGTGTAAGTGAAACAAGTAGCCTTTTGAACACGGACATGTCATCTGCTCATGAAAAAAGTGAACATTCAGAAAACTTCGCGGAAACAGTGTCTGAATCATTGGAAGATTTGGTGAATACATTTGATGAAAAAATAACAAAATGTTTCTGCAATTTCGAGGAAAAAGTAGATCATATAGCTCCAGTTCAAGTCAGAACACAAGAGGAAGTAGTAAAAGATTGCCAGTAAGTATTTGCTGGTAAAATTATGATCAAAATAAAAAAGTTAACATCAACACTGTCACTGACAACACGGTTGGGTAGCTACGGAACCGTAACTCTTATGGTCCTTAAATTGTCAAAAAATATCACAAGGACCATAAAAGTTACAGTTCCGCAGCTACAGGTTGGGTCAATGGCCCACATGCCTCATAGTAATCCATTTAGGGTATTATACTAATTTATAGCCCAAATGGTTAAAATTTTCAGCGCAAATAATAATAATTTTATGAATTAAACAAAAACATTCCAGATCATTAAGTTGCTAGATTGCCCCCATTGAAAATGTATTAGGTTTAACCCAAAGAGTCTGTTTGCCCTATTGTTATTATGCCCCTGCAGCGTGGTGGAGGCATTAAGTTAAGTGTTGCCCTTGTATGCCCTAAAATAAGTTTCCGTTCTCTTACTTTAGTTTGCCTCAACCAAATGTTATGAAACTTATACACAATGCTTATCACCACAAAACTCAGATTCAGTTTGAATTTGGGTCGCTTTACTTTAACCGTTCTAGAGTTGTGCCCCTTTATAAATGGATAAATTGCTGACTTTTTTGTTTCCATTCTTTAACTTTTGTTTGCCTCAACCAAATATTATGAAACTTATACACCATGCTAATTACCATAAAACACAGATCAAGTGTGAAATTTAGGTGGCGTCACTTTTACAGTTCTCTAGTTAAGTTTTTTTATAACATTTTATGTAAGCAGGGTCTTCATCTGTGTCCCATGGACACATTTTCTCCCAATTTTTTAAATACATATTAATATTTCTGGTATTTAGGTTTTTATATAAATAGTGTACCTTATCATGCTTATGTAGATGTTTATTTGGTATATATCTAATAGAAAGTACATATATATAACAAAATTCATGAAAAAGACATGGAAATAAATTTAGATTAATTGCTTGATTTATCGAGCAATGATTGTCTTTATTGAACACAACATTTGTTTTTATTTAGAATTTGTTTTAATTACTGTTGATTGTACATTGTAATTTGTAATGTTGATTTATGTATAATTATGATGTATTTGATCACAATGATAGTTGTATTAATTGTCTTTAGTGGTTTGATAAAATAGGGGTACAGCAATCAACATTGTGTTATAATCTTAATCACTATAAAAACAAACAAATATGTCAACAAAGAAAAATAAAATGGCATAAAGACAAAGCACACGAGCAAAATAGAAAGACAGGAATACAAAAAATGACCGTATTTACTATACCATACTAGACATACCAAACATACTCAAAATGTTGACTGACCAGTATACCAAATACAAATTGGACTATACTTCAAAACTATATAAATCTAAAAAATAACTCAATATATTTTGCATTTGCCGTGCGGACGAACTAGCCGGCATTTAATATGATATAATCTGACATTATGTGACGATACATATTTATACAATACATCAATTGAAAATGATAAATTAGACTAACAGATTTGTCCATCTTAGTCTATATTTTTGAAACAATATAAAAGATTCTATTCCTTGAATCTTTATCTCCGTCATTAGTGATGAATGCCACCCAGGAAAAACCATAAAAAATAATTTCATGGAAACCTGTAACTCGAGGTAATGCCGACACCACTTCCAGAGAAAGCGTCAAGTCCAGCGCTCAAAAAAAAAAAACCAAATACAAAAATAAACAGCCACTGTTTATAACATACTTATATATAAATATATACACTTGTAATTTGTGGTTTACTATCGAACGTCCACGGCTAGAATGAAGACCTTAACACAAGACAATACACTTGGCGCCAAACCATAAGAAACTTGACCATTGGTCATTCTAAACACGTGACTACACTTAGTCTTGATGAACCGTACAATACATTATTTTTCTACTATACTACGAAACGCAGAAAAATATACGTATTTACTATACCATACTAGACATACCAAACATACTCAAAATGTTGACTGACCAGTATACCAAATACAAATTGGACTATACTTCAAAACTATATAAATCTAAAAAATAACTCAATATATTTTGCATTTGCCGTGCGGACGAACTATAGAAATCCACAAAGAACGGGCGCAGAATAGTTAGAATAATAAATACTTGAAAAACGTTTCCCCCTAAAAATGTCAAATACCTAAATGTTTGGTCACTTCTAATCTATGTTCTAATGAATCAGCGACATATCCGTCCTTGGCCGAGTCGCTCTTCCAACGACCATGACGTTTCCAACACCTGTCGCTTACATTTGAATTCGCTGCTTTTGAAGCACCACTAGCTCTCAGTGAATGCAACCCAATATTCAAATTTTTACAAACTTCCTTCAAACGATTGACCCCCCCAAGGGTGACTGGGGAATAGAAGTATGGTCACCATTGGTCTTCCTCCGACCGGCAGTAAAACCCGTGCTCAAGTGGGGCGTCCGTTTGGCTGTGCGGGATGTACAAATTTGCAGCCACGTCCGGTCAGAATGGGGACGTTAAATCCGATGCCTCGTGTAAAGAGAGTGCCACGCTCTTTGCACGTTAAGAACCCTTGCAACAACTCTTTGAGGGGTCCGTAGGTGACCTGTTGCAAGGCTAAATTTCTGTCCCTATCCAATATACCCTCATTTCCCGTGGCAGTCTAAATTTCTCCGACCTTAATCCCGGACGCCCCTCTTACAGAACCTACCTATTGTATTTATTGTGAACTTGTTCTCGTCCTGAATATGCATGAAATATTTGCCACTGGACGTTAAGCAACCAACAATCAATCAATCAAACGATTGACAATACATTCTCTAGCCCTAGTGTAACTAAGTGGTTTATTTTTATATATCAAACTATAATATCTGCCTGATCTAAAAAGAGGTCTAAATATGAATTCATTTGACAAACTGATATTAGCTAAATTCAAATACTTTTGAAGTAAAAGAAAAGGACATGCTGCGGATTGACCTTTAGCAATAACTACAGAGTCACCTAATCTGTATTGATCGGTTTTACTCTTTTCTATAGTAATATTTATATGTGATTCACAAAATTTAACATCTTTGTATTTTATATTACTGATTTCACTAAATCGTAAAAAACCAGAGTAACCAAGCACTATCATAACTAAATCTCTTATTACACCTATGTCCTCACTATTAGTATATTTTTCACATAGCTTAACTATATCAGCTGAGTCGATAATATCTTTCTTAACTTTTGGACTATGCTCTTGTCTTTTTGAGGATTCTAACAAATTTTTTGCGAAATTATTATCTGTTGGATCATCTAAATTGTTTATATTATGCGCCCATTTAATAGCGTAAAAAGCAGTTTGTAAAACACTGTGCGAAGAACCATTGTCTAAAAGTTTGGTTAGATATAATGACACGTGAATAGGTTCTGCTGGAATTGCCACTCCGCCTTCAGAAACGATGAATTTCTCGAATCTCCGAAAAGCACCATGATATAATTTAGTTGTATTGTCACTTCTAGAATGTAATAGAAAATGTACCATTCGATTGGCTAAAGTTGAAAAGTTATCTGACGTCACACCAGCTGCTAAAATATCGTCTTCTATTGTTTGTCCTAGTTGAATCCCTGTCAAAATAAATTAAATCAATAAATATCTATTTCGATTCATAAAATAATTTTTGTTGTAAGTATTTTAATTTGTTTCAGTCGTTATGTCCTATGCACATGTGCTTTTAATAAATTAAAAACAAATTTTTAATGCGATCATGTCAAATACAGATTTGTACATTCCAAAAATACCGTTTTTTCCTCTTCCTCGTAAAATATGATTTGAGGAAAAACTTTCCGACTCTACAATAAAAGTTTTCAGTTTTCCCCCCTCAGTCACTAACAATGGCCAAAAGGCTGCTGAGGTCCATTTGGGAATTACTAATGTACATGTAACATGTTCTTGTTGTATCTTTAAAATACATTTTGCAATCAAACTAGGAGGTGGAACAATCCAATTGTTCTCTCCTGCCCATGCGTAATTAAACGCATCAATTCCTTCGGTACCTGTGCACCAATGTTTTGAATTAAAACGCATGCATTTTTTATTGTAATCTGACGCAAATCTGTCAATCGAATATCTACCCCACTTTTTATTAAGATGGTTAAAAATAAATTCTTTGATCTCCCAGTCATCACAATCTGATTTTTTACTGAATAAATCAGCCTTTACATTATCAGTTCTGGGTATCCATTGTGGACTTAACTGAATTTCTTCCCTAGTACATATGTCTGCAATATTTATTGCGATTCTTTGTAGATCTGACTTAACACTGCCTTTATACAATATGTGTACGACGTTCTGATTGTCAGTTCTCCATAGAACTTTTTGACCTTTCAAATAGGTCAATTTCGACATAAGCATTCTATAAACTGCCTCAAGTTCACGCCATGTTGAACTTTTTACTTGTTCCTCAGGTTTCCATGAACCTATTACTTCGCTTTTTTCATAATCTACTATATATCCACCGAAGCCTGTACCAGAGGCATCGGTGTACACCACACTGGTGCAGATTTTTTCCCTCCAACAGTTCCTTTCCATTGAGGAACTCTACGTTTTCCTTCCAGAAAACGACTTCATCAAATGCCATTTCTTTAATGAAAACTGGCGAATCCCAACTAGCTTTTTGCATTATGCATTCATAAAGACTCCTAGTTCTCAACCTAACCAAACTACCCATAGCCGCTTGCATAGAAATTATCTGACCTACTAATGAAGCCACTAACCTCGCTTTAAATAAACAGTTTCCTGAAGATATTTTCTCGATAAAGTGTTTTAAAAAATTTCTCAGTTTATCTAAACGTTCAGGAGACGCATAAATCTTACCAACACACATGTCCCATATTAAACCTAACCATGTAACTGTCTGAGAAGGTTGCCAGTTGCATTTTTGTTCTGCTATAAGAAATCCAAACATTTGCAATTCTGTGTGCACTTGATTACTTATCTCTCATGCTTTCTCATAATTTTCCGCTCCACCTATGCCATCATCT